CTCACGTGAAATATATATACACATCGGAAAAGTCTGTGGATATTTTTAAAAATGGCTATAATTTTTTTTTAGATCGCATTAGGGAAAAAAAAAGTTGACGGGTGATTATTAAACGAATGTAACTTACAACAAAATTTATTAAATGGTCAAAAATACTGGATGCGCATATAAGCAAAACGAATATCTAGGTANGTTAAAGCACAATATTTCCAGTTTAATTGCTGAGCAAGAACTGCATAGAATGTACAAACTCGACACTTTCAGATTATTCATTTTAGCCGAAAACCTACAGTTTGTAAAAAACTTAATAAAAGATTAGTTACCGTTTTTGCAGGTTCTCTTCAATCCATAGAAATCTACAGGATGGTCAAGTGTACCAATTTAATCGAAATTAAACGACCTCATGCATTTATTTTTATGATATTTAGTATGTTATAAAAATATCCCTAGACTTTTCCGATGTGTGTATTTGGAACTCTCATTCAATTATAATCATTTCCAAAATGTGTACTCAATTACGGGAATTACTGTTTAAAGCTGGATTTTCACCGGCTGTGAGTCAGTATGAGTGACATCTTTGATTGACGACTTGTTTATTTTGTGGAAATTCAGGTTCACTATTTTCCACGACAGTTTTAATATCTGTTGACTAGTTTCGGTCATTACAGCATTTTAAAAACTAACTAGATTATATACAAATCAGAGTATTTATACCTACATCGCCTATATCTATCATAAATACTTTGATACCTACATTTTCTAGGATAACCTCAATTAATAGCAGTATATCAATGAAGATATTTGATAAAATGTAGGTTTTGGGAACTGGGTTATAGGTTTAGGAGAGGACTATTGTTTAAATCAAGTTGTTCGTTGAGGATAATAGAATTGGGATTTTTCTTTGACTTGTTTATTTCCATAGATTCCAACTGATGCATCATTTCCCCTTTTTTGCATGTGTGCAGGATTTTTAAATCATCTTTATCTATTTTGTGTTTCGAAATTTGAAAATGTTTATACATTAATTATAGTTTATTCGAAATGAGATAATACTGGTACTTTATATCACTATTTCTACCAGTTTGGCCTGTATACAGTGCGCATTTCTTCAATGTCCCCCCCCTTTTATTATTTAATTGGGTCAACTAGGAAATGAAATAATTTTCAGATGAAACTTTCAAAATGGCGACTGGGCTCTATCTGAGAAAAAAAAATTAAATGGAAAAGGGGTCTTGTGACACATCATTTTGAAGCTCCTGACAAACCTAGACGAACACATTAATATCGATATTTCTAGAAATATTCCTTTTTATCTGCCATATGGCAATTTCAACAACCCGATAAGGTTTGTTAAGTTATTTTTTGTTTATGAAAACGTCAAAAAATGTCATTACGACAATGAACATCATTGTTCAGTTAGAATATTCTCATTTGGAAAGGTACCATGTCAACAATCTCTAAAATGGTCAATTCTAGTCTATTGGGAAAAAAAAATTGAAGCGATTTTTAGTTACGGTGCGATGCGTAACTTTCACGAGACCAAAAAGATTATCAATTAACGTTTTCCGAATCGTCCTATATGTATAAAATATTTAAGGGAACTTGTATCCAAATTCATTACTACCGGTAGAACAGAAAGTTCAAACAATTAATGAACTTCATTTCCCTGGGTCCATCCGTCCCTAGAAATACTAGACGAGCTGAAAGACGCCGAAATATATAAGGCAGTAGTCTCATCAGTGTCTGACTGGCAGCGAAAACAAGAACAGAAGAAGATTAGTAACAGGTTTGTAAAGTCTTTGTATCGCGTCACGTCTTCTCCATCAAATACGAGTTAAAAAGCGGAATTTCGCTGGGGTGGAGGGCGCGAGTATTATATTTGAGTTCCAGAAGCGAATTATTTCTCGCGGTGAAGCTTTTCTCAGGGGTTGTTTATCCGCTCGAGCTCGGTAAACATCTTTCTGTCTAACAAAATGATGGGGAAGAGAAAAAATAAAGGATAACGATGTATACGGTGGTATTTTATACACGGGAAGTGGTTTGACGTTTACTTTTATGATATGAAATATATTTTTACTTGACACAAGCACTATAGGAAAATCCTTTAGGCGCCTTTGCAGCGGTGCCTGGAGATATAGAAAGCTAAAACCTCTCCTTCACAAAAATGTCTCAGTGTACGAACGTTTGGAAACTCAAACTGATACCGATCGAGAAAAAATGCCTCTAAAAATTGAACACTGATATTAGAATTGATTATGAAAGGCACAATATACAAAGACATCCATATGGCGGGACCAGATTTCAATTATTCAATAATGCTACGTATGAAAATGACCAGAACTATTACTTCGAATATCAAGTGATCCTCAGAGCAAGAATGGCCACTTGAAGACTGATCAGAGCTATTTGAGCTTGCTGGTTGGTACAAGAATATTATTTGTTTCAATCCCTATCGGTAACACTGAGCTAGACTTTGGAATTAGGTTGTCATGTTTCAACGTGTGAGAAGAAATAAACTGACTCTATACTAAGGATATTCAGTAATCACAAGCAAATAAAAATACACGATCAACAACCTCACATGTAAGTCCCGGGCTTTCAAGATCTTTGTAACAGTACCGGATAGAAAATGGGTAGATGGAAAACTCTTGGTATTTTGGGAAGATATACTTGTTGGCGAATCCAGAACAGATATAAAAAACTACTTCAACAGAGCAGAGATCAGCTAAGAATATTTACAGAGAGGATGGTATGTTTCCATCTCTTCTCTAAAACAGACTAGAAATAATTTTACCTATTCTCATAAAATTGTACAGGGTGATTCAAAAGTACTTTGACAAACTTCAGGAGGTGATTCCTCACAATATTCTAATATGAATTGTTCAAATAAATAAATGTCCGAAAACGCTTCGTTTCCAAGATGCAGGATGTTGAAGTTTTATTTTTATTTTCGTTTTTTTCAAATAACTTTTGAAATACTGAACTTAATTAAACGAAACTTGGTAATAGGAGGTTTTTGAGGTGTCGAATTCGAAC